GAGAAGAGGTCAGAGAGAGAGGCCAGGACTTGGGCTTTTACTTAGTGAGACAGGGACCATGGGAGGGCTCTGAGCTGAGGAGGAGCATGAGCAGACTTGTGTTTTAACGGGATCACTTTTGTTGGGGTTTGAAGTACGCTCTAGGAGGTCAAGAGCAGAAGCAGGGACACCAGCGAGGAGGTGACTGCCTCAGTCCTGGTGAGAAGTTGTGGTGGGGATCAGGTAGGTAGTAGTGGGCTGGGGGAGATGGTTAGATTCTGGGTGTATTCTGAGGGTAGAGCGGACAGGATTTCTGTTTTGGATGTAAAGAGACATTTGAGCAGGTATTTCATTGACAGTGGTAAGTGATGAGAGTGGAATCTGGTGACTGATGGAGGAGAGGGAAGGAAGGGTGGGAGGAAGAGGGGAGAAGGAAGAAAGGAAAGATAAGGAGAAGAAGGGAGGGAGGAGACCAAAAGGACAGACTGAAAGACATAAAGGAACAGGAAGAGAAACCTAAAAAGTGATCTCTCAGCATGCTCAATACAGATTAAAGTTAAAAAAAGGTTAATGGAGTTACCTTTTCTTCTCCTTCATAGGAAATCCGCCAGAATGGGGACGTCTGGGTGGCTCAGTCGGTTAAGCATCTGCCTTTTGGCTCAGGTCATGATCCCAGGGTCCTGGAATCGAGTCCTGCATCAAGCTCCTTGCTCAGTGGGGAGTCTGCCTCTCCCTCTGCAGCTTCCCCTGCTTGTGCTCTCTCTCTCTCTCTCTGACAAATAAATAAATAAAACCTTAAAAAAGAAAAGAAAAGAAATCCTCCAGAATGGCCCCAATTCTGGTCAACAGTGGAAATTAGCTTTAACTTCTACGCACGCTTCACCAGGACACCTAGACCTCCGTGGGTGCACGAATTCATTTTCCAAGCCCCACAAAATGGTAGGCACCCATGCGCACAGTGGGAACCTGAGGTTCAGGGATTGGACCTTAGGCTCGCATGCCTCAGGGCACAATGGGAATTCTGTGGGGTTCTAGGTCAATCTTTAGTGGATCTGATTTTCCTTCTCCAGCGCTAAGTGGGTGCAGAACTGCACCTCCTAAGCCCAAAGTGGATCTGGAAGTCACTTCCAAGTGTTCGCTTCTCTGCATGGAGTACAGCCTCAGTCTCCTCCTCTGTCCTGCTCGAGAAGGGGCAAAGTGACCGCACAAAGCCCCTGAGCAGACGTTTCTGGTTGCCCTTCCAGCCTACCCTGCCCCTTGTCTGCCTGCTCTGAGCCCAGGAGGCTGCCTTGTGAGCTGTCCATCTGCCTAGCTGCCTTGTCTCTGTGTTCAGGGGGGCCGGGGGAGGTGCTGGAGGATGCCAGCCTGCTTGCATCCTGCCTCAACTTACCCACACCTGCAGAGCTCCAGACGCCTCACTTCTGCCCCCGGCTCGCTGTCTCCAGCCTTCTCATGAGCTGATTTAGACCAGCTCCCCTCTCAACCCAGACTCCCCCTGGTGTGAAGAGCATTCTGGATGCCTCCCCTGAGTGCCCCGTGTATTAGTTTCTCAAGGATGCCTCAGTTTCCAAGGGCAGCCGTAACAATACCACAAAGTGGCGTAAAACAACACAAATATACTCCCCCATTTCTGGAGGCTAGAAATCCTGAAACCAAGCTGTTGGCAGTATCGTACTCCCTCTGAAGGCTCTAGGGGAGGATCCTTCCTTGCCTCCTGCAGCCTCTGGCTGCCCTGGGCCTTTTTTTGTTTTGAAGATTTTATTTATTTGTTTATTTGAGAGAGAGAGAGAGAGCACATGAGCGGTGGGAGGGGCAGAGGCAGAGGGAGAAGCAGACTCCCCACTGAGCAGGGAGCCCCACGACTCTGGGCTCTACCCCAGGACCCCGGGATCATGACCTGAGCCGCTTAACCGACTGAGCCACCCAGGCATCCGCTTTCCTCTTCTTATAAGGACACCAGTCATGTTGGATTAAGAGCACCCCCTACTCTAGTATGACCTCATTTAACTGATTACAACTCCGATGACCCTATGTCCAAAGAAGGTCACATTCTGAAGTACTGGGGGTTAGGACTTCAACATACCTTCTTTTTTGGAGGGGGACAAAATTCAACTCATAGCACCCATTGAGCGCCTTATGCTCACCATGTCCTAACTGACCCCATTCCCCCAACCGGAACCTGCACAAGACACCCGCATGTCACCCAGACGTCTCCCTTCCCCTGGGCATCCAGGGGAGGCAGCCAGGACGCTGTGACTCGTGGAGAGTCTGGGCAGAGTGGGGAGTTGGGTCTCAGCCTGGTGTGGAGGTCATGGGAAGCCTGATGTCAGGGAGCCATTGGAACAGGTTCACGGAGCTCTGCAGGTGTGAGGTGTTGGAGGAGATGGAGCTCAGGGTCCATTGCTCCCTTGGCTTCTTTAGTGTCCTCACCTTCTGTCAGCTACCCTGCCACTTAATTACCAGTTGAATAAATGACTTAACTCGTTAAAAAAACAAACCCCGCCAACTTGACAACCACTAACTACTTGTCTCCAGCCCTCTCCTCTGAGCCCCATCGCAGGTGTCTAGAAGCTTCCAGGATGCGTCACCCTGTGAAGTGCTTGTGGATGTCCCCAGGAGCCTCCCATCCTCCACACTCCAGACCCACCTCAGCATCTTCCCCTCCCTCACTACTCCGGGTCTAAAGTGCACCCCGTTGTAATGCCCCCAAGTACGGCGCACAAGACCCCTTGTCCCTTTCCATACCTGCGGCCCACGCTTTGTCAGACACGGTCCCTTTATTAAACTATGAAGCTCTCCTCCATCGCCCCATTTGAAAGGTCATCACCTTCCTGCCCGATGCAGCTCCCTTTTCCTCTGGGGCTCACCCTGCTGCCCGGGGCCCACCACAGCTCTGGGGTTGGGGGGTCCTCTTTTTATCTATCGTTTGACTTAACTTGGGGGTCTCTGTTGTGCACAGAGCTGTGTTTTTGGAAAAGCTGTGTTTTGTGAGGTCCTGAACTGGGCTCTTTGGTTCCCTGTGTGACCAGCGTATACACATAGGGGCCCACGGTGCAATTTGCAGTCTGGAGATGCACCATAAAGGTCAAGTTCTCACCAGGGTCTGCAAGATTCTCGACTGCCCTCCCCACGTGACTCTCTGATCTTCACTCTTAATTACTCAGCTGGCCTCCCACCACCGCAGGGCCTTTGAATCTGCCGTCCCCTCTGCCTGGAATGCTGTTCCTCCAGATAGTCTCTGCTTGCCTCATTTCGTTTGGATTTTGCTCACATGTCACCTCCACAGAAAGGCCTGCCCTGACTGCCCCGTAGAAAACAGTCTCTCCTTTCTTTCTGCACCCCTTTACCATATCTGCTTTTCCTGCAGAGCACTTCTCACCCACCTGTCATGTTACTATATATTTGCTGATTGATGGTCAATGCGCCCCCTGCCCCTTGAGAAAGTCAGCTCCGTGAGGGCAGGAGCCCAACCCACCAGTGCCTTGAAAGGCCTGGCACAAAGTAAGTGATCAATAAGTATTTGTGGCCTGGTGGAAAGAAAGAAACCCTGATATGATTTGTGCATGTGTGCATTTCCAAGGGGCCAGGGACCATATTTTCCGTTGCCTCTCCAAAGCGGGTCTGGGAGCCCAAAGTTTAAGAACTATCATCAAGTTGGTCCTGGCAGATCTGTGGTCTAGCGGGCCGGGAGGGGGACCCCTGGACAGAGCCCCAAGAAGGACATGGAAAAGGAATCTGGGGTTAAGGTGGAGGCTGGGACATGGGGACCAGTCCCTAGGTGACCTGTGTTGGAGGACGTGGTGGGGGCACATCGTGAGAGGAACCCAGACCCATTCTTGTTCTGTCTCCTGTTTCCCCCGCATTGGGACAAACGTGGTTCCCTCCCCCAGCCTCCAGGGGAGAAGACAGAACCAGAGTGATTTCAAAGACAACCAGAAATGCTCTTTATTCACCAGAGCTGAACACCAGGGTCCCAGCCCTGAGCCCCAAACTGAGCAACTTAAAATCTGAAGGGAGCTCTTTCTTTTCGTTGCCCCTAAAAGAAAATCTAGGCAGTTGCCTTTCCCATCTGGGCACTAAAACCCCTTTTCTTGTTGGAGCTTCGTTGATTAAGTGTTGGAGGATGAAAAAAAAAAAAAAATGGGAGGGGAAAAAAACACAAAGACCTTTAGCAAACCAGGAGGATTTGAAAGGTGGGTGGGAGTCAGTGGAGAGCTGCCGTCCTGCAGGGGGAAACGCCCATCGGTGATTTGCAGGTTGGGGGCGGGAGTGCAGTGAAACAATCAACAAGAAGGTCGACGAGGGGAGCTGAAGAGTGTCGCAAGCACCCCAAGGCTCTCCACTCCCAGATAAGCCTTGGAAGACCAGGTGCCCCCCTCCCCCTGCAGCGTGTCTCCTCCCATCCCCAGCTCCTGATGGAATGGGCTGCTGGGGCAGGGAAGGAACAGTCCCGGGAGGTTTGTGATGAAACCGTGGGTCTACAGGTGACTGAAGAAGGTGGACAAGGCTGGTCTCAAGTCAGAATCCCATCTTGGAAGTTCTTGGGCTAGAGTGTCCAAGCCAGTCTTGTTCACTCTCTCCAGATTCTAAGGGCGGGCCTGGGAGAGCACGCTGGGTCCTGTAGGTCCAACGGTCCAAGAATTCCAGAAGGAATGGAACCATGGAGCTGAGAAGTCAAGGGGGCAGGGCTCATGTCACCAGCAGCCCCAGAAAGACGAAAGATCCATGAACTGGGGGCCCAGAAGGAGCCACAAGGCCGTGCGGTCCAGGGGCAGCGGTCCTGCCGCATCCAGAATCCACAGACACCCTCAGTTCAGAACCCCAAGGCCTGAGAGGTCCCCGGGGGCGGGGGCAGAGCTGGCCTGGCTCCCCAGTAGCCTGCATTGTTTCAGGATCCAGCAGGGAGTAGCTCTGGGAGCCGGAGGCTCCCAAAGGCTGGGTGAGTCAGAGGGAGGGTCCGGGGACTTAGCAGGGACCGAACCAGGAGGGTTGGGGGGCGCGGGGCGGGCATCTCGCGCTCCTCAGCGCTTGACCTTGCGGCCGGCCGAGTTGCGCCCGCCGCGCCGGTAGAGAGACTGCTGGCCGCCGTTGAGCGGGCAGTACTTGAGCGTGTGGGCTTGGCCCCCGGTGGCCCCGCACAGGGGACACACATAGTGCCGCAGGATGGGGCACACCACCACGCCCTCTGAGGTCTTCAGCTGGTGTGAGGAGTAGACATGGCGCGATTCCCCGTTGTGCTTGCAGAAATTGCACAGGGTGGCCAGGCCTGTGCTGGCCCCCGGCCCTCCCAGACCCTGCTCCTGCCCCAGCTGGGGCCCAGGCTTCTCCTCCCCATTCCCCTGGGCCTCTGGCCTTTGCCCCCCACTCTGGATCAGGGCCAACACCACCTGGTTCAGGTTGAAGTAGTCCTTCCACATGTCAAAGGGCGGCAGCTGCATGGCTCCCAGGCAGAGGTGCGGGGCGGGGGCGGGGGCGGGGGGCGACTAGAGGCAGGCCAGGGCTTCGGGGGCGGGTGGTCAGGAGCAACAGGTGCTTTTCTGCAGTAGGGAGGAACTGCACCCCCTTTTATACTCCCCCAAACACCCTTCTAAGCAAAGGTGGAGCTTAGGATTTAAAGGGCCCACTCCCTGCCCACGATCCCCATCGGACCGTAATCCCCCACGGAGATGGGGAAGGAGGCCCTTCCCCTTGTCTCTGGTCCTTGCTCAGCCTCCAGGGCGCCCCGCGACTTCTGGAAAGGCCTTTCCTCTCCCTGGACCTCAGTTTCCCTACCCATTCCATTAAGATCCATGTGTTCAAATGCCCCCTCGCCCCCATCCTCCCTTACTCCAAGGCTAGGGGCCTCCAGATACTCCAGAACCATTCCTGATAATAATAACAGGTCCTTACCACGAGCCAGACGCTGTGCTGCATAGTAGATATCCGCGCGATCTGATCTCATTCTCACAACGTCTATGTGGGAAACACAGTTATGAGCCGCACATGATAGACGAGTTACCTAAAGCTCAGAGAGGGATACTCCCTGGCCTGGAGTCACAGAGCATGCAAGTGCCGGAGCTGGGACTCTAACCCAGGTCCTGAACTGGGAGCCATATGTTCAACAAATTTTTTTTTTTTTTTAAAGATTTTATTTATTTATTTTAGAGACAGAGCACAAGAGGGGGGAGGGTCAGAGGGAGAAGCAGACCCCCGCTGAGCAGGGAGCCCGATGCGGGACTTGATCCTGGGACTCCAGGATCATGACCTGAGCCGAAGGCAGTTGCTTAACCAACTGAGCCACCCAGGCGCCCCAACAAATATTTTTTTAGTGCACACTATGATGTTCAATGTTGTATAAATGAGATCTATGTTCTAGAAATGAGATCTGTGAGATCTATGAGATCCACATGATTTGAGCCTCATAACTACTCAGGGAAGTGGGCATTATCACTTGCATTTTATAAAGAAGGATATGAGGCTCAGAGAGGTTAAGGAATGTACTTTAGGTTGCTCAGCAGGGAAAAGGCACAGTTGGAATTCACTCCCAGTCTGACTCTAGAAATACTGGGAATTGATCTTAGAGGAAGCAGAGGACTGTGGCTTGGCACAGTCTCACTTAGAATGCCCCACCGTGGCCCTGTGCATTGTCCCACATCCTACCTGACCTTGGGGGCCAAGAAAAGCCTTGCTTCCTGCCCACACCCCCTCCAGCAATTCTTCCTCCACTAACCTCCATCTGTCCCCTTGACCACTCCACGGGATACTGGAAACTCGGCAGTGACCATGCCGAATCTGGTGCCTGTTTCACGAGCTGCCAGCCCACTGGGGGAACAGCCAGCAAATGAGAAAACAATAGACCAAAAACACCCGATTGCATACAGACAGGGTGCTCCGAGGGAGACTGGGCTGCGGGGAAGTGGTCTAGAAGCTGAGACCACAAAGAAGAATCTTCCAGAAAGAGGGAAACAAGATATGGAGGTCTGAAGTTTGGGGACAGCAAAGCGATTGGGGTGGATGGAACAGAGCGAGGATCCTAAGATCCCAGACCGTGGATTGCTTTTAGGGGCTGTTTTGGCAATGGCTGGGGCCCATTGGGTTTGTCACGGTGATCGGCAGTGTGACTGGATTTAGTGGGCAGGGAACCAGGGATGCCGGATATCTCAACAATCCACATGACCAAGATCTGTCTTGGGCCCTATTTAACCATCCAGTGTCCCCACTGGACACCGATATATGTAAAAAAACACATTTGTGATGATCTGCATCTAGAACCTCGCTGTTGCACATAAACACTAGCGCTCTCATGATATTTTCGGATACACTGACTTTTCCTGGGATACAACCACTGTGTACATTGTTATTCAGAGCTGTCCATTATTTCTAGAAGCCCCACCACCCCAGGCAATGCTGATTGTGGCAACTGTCCAAACAACACACAGTTTGTCCCTGTCTCACTCGTGGGAGTCTACACAGAGATGCTAGTATCTGCCGAAGGAGATGTGTTTTAGATTGGCCTTTTCTGAGCATCCGTACATGAAAACGGATTATTATTTTTATTATAAATGGCTGTCTTTTATTTCCCCTTTGTAGCTCAGTTAAGACAGGATATTAATTTTTGAAAATACAACCTGTGCGTTGGTGGGCTATATTACCTATGAGTTTAATTTCAGAATATTATTATTATTATTTTTTTAAGATTTTACTTATTTATTTGAGAAAGAGAGAGAGAGAGCACATGAGAGGGGGGAGGGTCAGAGGGAGAAGCAGACTCCCTGCTGAGCAGGGAGCCCGATGTGGGACTCGATCCTGGGACTCCAGGATCATGACCTGAGCTGAAGGCAGTCGCCTCACCAACTGAGCCACCCAGGCGCCCCAGAATATTATTATTTTATTGTTATTTTATTTTTAAAAATATTTTATTTATTTATTTATTTGGCAGAGAGAGAGACACAGTGAGAGAGGGAGCACAAGCAGGGAGAGCGGGAGAGGAGGAAGCAGGCCTCCCTCTGACCAGGGAGCCCGATGTGGGGCTCCATCCCAGGGCCCTGGGATCATGACCTGAGCCGAAGGCAGACGCTTAACGGCTGAGCCACCCAGGCACCCCTATTTTTATTTTTTTAAAGATTTTATTTATTTATTTGTCAGAGAGAGAGAGAGAGAGAGAGAGAGTGATCACAGAGGGAGAGGGAGAAGCAGACTCCCCGCTGAGTAGGGAGCCCGTCTCAGGGCTCAATCCCAGGACCCCGAGATCATGACCTGAGCCCAAGGCAGACGCTTACCCAACTGAGCCACCCAGGTGCCCCTAATTTCAGAATATTAAAGAAGCATTTCAAAATGTTAGATAAAGCAAGTGTTGGGTCTTACAGAGTAAGAACCAGTGATATAGGCCAAAGTCAGCCCATTGGTCTTTGCCTTCCGAGGAATAGGGAGCCACTGAAGGCTATAAGCAGGGGAAGGACATAAGAGAAATATGTTTCAGGACACTCCTCTGGTTGCTGTTGACTGGATAGGGGCAGTGGAGCTGTCCCCATCAGCTCACATTGTCTCAGTTTGGTCAGGAAGCAAAGTCTGAACAAAGTCTGTTAAAAATCCCCAATGGTAAACACCACGTTATGCTTTCAGAAAGAGCTTAATAAATGCTTATTGAGTTAATGTATTTTTTCTGTGGATGGGCTCATGGTTGGGAGGCAACAAAGGGAGGAATTCATGAATGTCACAGGAAAGGTTTTCTTGTCGTATGATTTCCCAGCTTTCTGTAATTTCCTTTTGAAGTAATGATTTGGGTAATGACTTGTTCGATATCTGAGGACATATCTGTCCTCAGATATCGAACCCATGAGCCCTGGGAGGTCAGGCCAGGGCTGTCTCAGGCGCTGATGTGTCCCCAGCGTTGCCCAGCTCAGGGCTGGGCATTGAGCAGAGCAGGAGATATTAACAAGATGAAAGAATGGGGGCACCTGGCTGGCTTAGTCGGTGGGGCGTGTGACTCTTGATCTTGGGGTTGTGAGTTCAAGCCCCATGTTGGGTGCAGAGATTCCTTAAAAAAAAAAAAAAATCTTAAAAAAAAAAAAAAGATGAATGAATGGATGGAGGTGATCTGACTCTCCAGACCACGTTCTATTTCCTTGCTCTAAATATCCACAGACCAATTATAAGTTTGCACATTGGTGACTCCTGTATCTTGAGTGCTTACGATGGCTGTCACTGTTCAGTTCTAATGTCTCCTCCTCCAGGAAGCCCTCTTGACCTTCAGGCTGAACCCCTGGGTCAACTTCTCTAGGTGACCACATCCCAGTCCTGCCCACTCTGAGTTACCACTGACTGGGGATGGGTCTGTCTCTTCCTCCGGACTGTGGGCCCCTGAGACCAGGGCTGAGGCTGTTCCCACAAGGCCCTGTACACATCTCAAGTCACTTAACCCTCATCCCTTTCTTCAGTCAAGTTCTATTATTAGTCATGATTTGCAAAGGTGGCAACAGATGCTCAGAGAGGTTAGGTGACTTGTCTATGGTCACACAGCTGACAAGCAGCAGAGCTGGGATTCCAACCTGGGTGTGCCAGAGTCCAAAGTCTTTGCCTTTAACCACTGCCCTCGATAAATACTTGTCAGCACAATGAATGAATAAATGAATGCATCCGAGCTTTCCATAGAGTCTTCCAGACCACCTGGTCTAGCTTGCCCCACTTTCTTATTTTGCAGATGTTGAAACAGGCCTCTGGATAGGAAGGATTCAAGAACTCAGTTCAAGCTACGGTTCCTGGCCAAGGTCCCTGGATTCATGTGCACACTAAGCACTTTCTGGAAACCTATAAATAAAAGTATAACCCTGGTTATATAGTGAGCTGCTGGTTCACCTCCCCGAAGAAGTGAGTCAGACCTCTCTGTTCTAGAGTGTTGGGGTCCTTGGGTCAGACAGTGGGGTGACTTGAGCACAAAACACCCCAGGTTAGTTGGTGGACAGCATCATGGATAAATGCTCAGTAATCAGCCCCGGGTTCTAGCCTGGCTCTACCACTTGCTTGCTGAGTGGGCTTATTACTTAACTTCTCCTAGCCTCAGTTTCCCATCTGTCAAGAGGGAATGACATCAGCACCTGCCCCAGAGCACAGAGCCTGGTTCATTGGATGTGTTTATTAAATATTAGCTAGGATAATTAAGATACAGTTAAGGCGATAATTTTAAGGGCCCTTATTTACTAAGCATCTCCTTTGGGTCAGCATCATGCTCTACCCAGACCCTGTAAAGTAGGGTGTATTAAGAGCCCCATGTTACAGATGACCAATGGGAGGCTCAGAGGAGTGGAGGGGCTTGTCCAAGGTTATACGGACAGTGCGGGTAGGCTGGAGCTGAACTCAGGACATCCTCCCATTCCTGTGAAAGTCTGCAAAAGTGGTTAGCAGAGAGCAGGGCTGGGGCGCCCCGGTGGCTCAGTCAGTTAAGTGTCTGACTGTTGATTTT